TCGTTGCACTGGAATTTAAGTCAAGGTAGAGATTGTTAGAGTTCTGACTCAAATAGGAGTCTTGAATCGCGTGTTGTTGGTGTCGGAAAGGAGTCTAACTGCATTCGACAACAAGAAAACAAAATTCCGTTGAAATTGGGTCTCGTAATTGTAATATATTTTCTTGCATTTTAGGACCCTTCTAGGGTTTGAAACGCGACCTATAAATACAAGACTCCCCTATCAATTTTGTTTAAACATTATTGTTGTGTCTGTAATTTCTCTTCATATTGTCAGTTTATAAAACATCGTTCATCTGCGATAAATTCTCTTTATTTATTTCTTTACTTTTAATCTTGATTCTTATTGTTATCTTTATTACTTCATATCGTCATTAAATCTCATTATTTACAACCCTTTGGGATCAACAATAGCTTGATCGATCAACGAGGTTGGGGACAATGTCAATTTCCGCTTATGCCGGTTACAAAAAATAAAAAGCCTAAAAACGCTGAAAGAATTCACCAAAATGTAATAATCGACAGAGACGGATTTAGGATTGGATTCAAGATTGGGCTACAAAATTTAAAGTCGGGCTAATACACGAAAAAAAAAATTACACATAAAAAACTATTTTTACCCAAAAAAATAAAATGAAAAATGTCTAAAAAAAATTCTTGGGCCTTGGGGAGGACTTAGTCCCCCCTATATCCGTCCCTAATAACCGACGATTGAGCAATAATAAAACCTAACAAAATAGATGAAAATTGAAATTAATTTAGTTGAAAGTGCTTGAAATGTGTAATTTTTTAATCCAGCGGTTCACCTCAAACCATTACAAGAATTTGTTTAATTATCATGTTCATTTTGTGCAAGCATGTAGTCTTTGTAAAATTCAAATTTGCCCATTAAGCTCCTTTCATTTGGGAACGGGGAACTCATCTCAAGTCCCTGGAGTTAAATTTGGCAGGTCTGACATTTAACTGCATGCTACTTGGCTCATTTCATATTAATAGATAAATCTCATATTAAGTATTAGATGGAGTAAATAATTAAAATATAAGAGTTTGAGCTACTTTTCATTATTTTATATAAAGTCAATATTCTAAGAAGAAACCATTAGATTTGAACAATTTGATACAATTACTACTCAGACGAGCATAAGGATTCGAAGATTAATTTTTTCGAATAAGACACCACCTTTTGGATGAATGTTAAGAGATAATTTTTACATTGAATAAAATAAATAATCAACATATAAGGATTTTTAATATTTCCTTTCAATAAAGATGACCTTTTAAATAGACTGTATGTCTTAGCGCATTTGCAAGAGGGTTTTTATTTTTTTTTATTTTTTATTTTTTATTTTTTTTAAGATGCACTCTATAATTTTAAAGAGACAATCCTTAAAAAATTATGTTCCAAATAACTCTTTAAATTAACATTTTAAAATAGAGGATGGACTTAGCTTTCCACCAAAGTATTTCAATTTTCAATAGAGAAAAATAGTATAATAATTTAGAGGGAATCTAGTGAAAATAAAAGATAAGAAAAAGAAAGAAATGTTTTTCGGGAGCAATAAAATTAAGTATTAAATGTAAAGAGCCTATTGGAGTACTTAAAATTTTTTATTCTTTAAATTACAAAACATGCACTTTTAAAATAGCAACTCTTAAATATCCTCAAAATATGATATTAGAATATGATAAATTCAAATAAGCAATTCAATCTGATTAATAATCAAATGAGTACACAGATTCCATTAGTGTTTTCAAATGAAAAACTATCTTGTGGTCAATTCGATTCGATTACTAATCAAACGAGCAGTAGATTTTAAGATTAGTGTTTTCAAACAAAATACCACCTTGTGGGGGCATATGTTTGGGCATGAGCTCCCACATTTAAAATAAATAACTGACACGTAAAAGTTTGTATACTACTTCTAACAAGATTGACATTTTAAGATGAAAATTTGGTTTGATATATTTGGAAAAACTCCTAATTATCAAGAACCGATCAAAATATTAATTAGAAACCTGAAATTTTCCATCCTGTTCACTGCAGCATTCATTAGTGAAATTGCATTACCTTATGCCAACAACTGCTTTGAAATCGGCTTCCAATGATCGTTGTATGTACTTTTGGAAATTGAAGGAGTTGTTTGTTGATAAATGAGCCTGCAAAAGTTTCAGAACACTTCCATTTTCATGTAATTGCAACTGAGACAACTATTTTCTTTTGCTAAGTACTAGATTTTTTATTTAAGTTTGTTTTAAGAATATTTTATTTATGCAGTATATAATTTATTTAACTCATAAATAATAGTGTCAGAATGAAGCCACGAATATATACTAACCGAAATAAAACCATGGCGCAAAGTGAGATAGTCAATTTTGGGTACAGAGTTGAAGAATTGCCGGAAAAAGCATTTCTGCGGAATTGTGAAAACATTAATTTTTTCCCGCTAGCATTAATTAGAAATTCGCTACAAAAATTTCACTGATAATGACAAAAAATTGTTGTAAAAGGTCATTGTTAAGTGAAATTTCTTGTAGCAATTAAATTGTGAAAATCACATTAACAATTAGAAAAAGAAAGAGATGTACGCACAATCCACAAGTGAGCAGGAGTAGTTGAACAAGCGTTTACATGTCGCCTCCCAAACGTCGTTTGTCTTGCTATTCTAAATCTTTCAGGATCTTCATGTATAATTCCATGCA